CTCTTCCCTTTCCATCAAAAGTGAATAACGGGCTGTTCCTTCTCCAACTGATTTCGATGAAAGAAGTCTTTGTGCTCTGTGTCACACCTCACTGATGCAGGTTTGATTCATATAGATAACAACAGACATGTTTTATACCAGTTTTCCAAAAGCTGGAAAAAAAATTGTTTTTCATTTCTGGAGGAATATAGTTAAATATGAACTTTGTAACAGTGGTCAAAAAGAATTACAAGGTGAAGTGGAGCAGCTATTTACTTTGCTGTAAAATCCAGTGAATTTAATTCACAGATTCCTGCTGGTTTAAAGAGGTTTTGGATCTGGACCTGACTGAGATGAAGATTGTGATTTTATTGCTTTCATGGTAACCAACTAATCCATCCCTCTGTTGCTGACATTGAACAGACAAATGAGATGGCTCAATTTTGTTTAAAAGTACCTTTTGTTTAGTTCAAATTGTTCCTGCAGAAAGAGAGGCCCCAACACTGCTTAAAAAATTAGGAACAATACAAATAAAGAAATGCTTGTGTGCATATATATATATATATGTACAAAAAGCATTGTGGGATTTGGTTGGGTTGTTTTGGTTTTTAAATACTCATTTGAAAGGGCTCAATTCATAGCTACTCCTATCTAGGACCCAATTTTTATATAGATCACAAATATATAGTGAAGATGACTGGGCATGATTCATAGCACATCACAGAGTCTCCCCATAAACTCCCTGTCTCTCTACACCAGCGAGATTGTCACCCCAGATAATGACAACTGTGGGCATGGCAGATTTTCAATCACACTTCATGTGCTCTGTATCACCACCTGATGGCACTTTTACTTGTAGGGCATGGCCATACTAAATCATACACTATCTCTGCATATATTTGTCACTGGAGGAAGGCTAACACACAGCACTGCTTACTCCAGGTGACAGACACCTGATGAATAGACACAGGAATTCCAAGGACCACGTCTGACTGGCACAGTGCTGCTCCTGCCTGAAGTATTTTCCCTGCAGGAGCTCAGGGAGAGGCCAGAGCTCTCTGCTGAAAAGGTTTATCCCTACTCCTCCAACTCTGTTCCTCAGGAGACATAAATTCAGGCCCCCCCAGCCTCCCTCTTTGTCCAGGAGGGACAAATATCTGTGCCCTAGGATTCAATGACATGATCTGCACATGCTTTTATCTCGTGCTGTGCAACAAAGCTGAGTTTCTTCAGGAGATTGTTTTATCTCCATCATCTCCAGCTTCTGCAAGGCGTGCTGGTGGTTTTGGCAAGTCCTTTTCATTGAAGGGCAAAGCACTGAAAACACACACTGTCTTGGACATTTTTCCCTTTTTCTTCCCTGAAAACAATTTTCTTTTCTCTCTCTTTTCTAACTTACTCTTATTAATGCAAGGTATAATACGTGAGATCTGCCTTTTAAATCCAACACTGTTTCACTTCAACTTTTCCCTCACCCCCGGTGCAAGTTATCCTACAGAACCAATGGGAGATACAGGATTGGGTGATTTTTCATATGTATAAAGAATTTATGATCCTGTAACTCATGCAAAAATTCACTGGAAAACAAAAATCCCTCTCTTTGATTTTACCCAAGAAAATGCACTAAAATCTGAATATATTTAACTTTCTTCTGTGACCTTTCCACTGCTATGGAATTGCTCATATGCATGAAACCAAGGCTGCAGTTCCATGTGACTGTTTTGCAGGTCTGTGGTCTGTTTTATAATGTGTATTCTCCCTTTTCTGTGCCGTATCTTCCATTTTCATTATGCCTCAATTAATACACTGAAATATGCTGAGCGGTTTCACATGAAATATGTTTCTCATTTTAATCAGTTTAGCATCAAAGGTTTTAGGCTGGCATTTTCTAGGTTGGTGCAGAGGGTGTTTATTAATTTGTCTGTGATGCCTCCTCTCATTAGTGTTTAATGGAATTTCAAGCAATCCCAGCAGCTAGTAGATAATTTATTTTTTAAACACATTTTTATCAGTGTATTAAACAATCAGACTCTCTATTGTTTCTGAATAATCTGGAGTGCTTGTTTCATCTGCAGACTAGAAAAGCTGGTACACTCAAAGTCCTGATTGCCCAGGGTTGAAAAAAACCCCATTTTTGGTTGGAATTCAGAGTGACTGAAAAGCAGCTGCCTGAGATTTGGATCCTCCAATATTCCCTTTGCAAAGAACCTGACTAAAGCAAATGCCATCAAGTCCTGATCCCACTAATCCACTTACTGGTAAAAAAGGCTCCTGCCACACCCTTAACCAACTCACGGGAGCTGTGTGTGCTGGAAATCTGCTTCACAAAGGCTCAGACAAACACCAGAACTCACCTCCTCTGCCTCTTCCCTTTCACCTTATACCAAGGAGGCCTATTTAACATTACCTCTGTCATGCAAATGCTCATCAGCCAAAAATATATCACTGTCTACTAACTATTGACCCAAGGTATTGAGTTTAGACTGTCAAGAGTTTCAGAACCCCTAAAACAATGTCAAAAATTCAAAAAGAAATCAACTATTCACATCAGTAAAGCAATATTTAAAATATGAGCTTGTGTTCCAAAAAGGTTTTTAAAGGATCCCATAATAGTCCAAATAGACTTTTCAATACTTTTCGAGTGTTTAAACTATACATTTGAAAAAAATGACACCTTCAGCACTAGAATGAATTGTGAGGGTATAATTTCATAGAGAAAGTTTTAAAAGCTAGTAATAATCTCTGTGGGGAAAACAAAAATAAAAGTTTTCTATTTTTACAAGGGTGACTAAACCCCAGGAAAATGGAAGAAGTTTTCCATGGACATGGCCTGTCTGCAGGAATCATGAGGCTCAGTTTGGCACATGAAACATCAATTCCAACGTTTGATGGAGGTGAAAAATCTCTATGTAAACAGATCTGAGGCTATTTTTGTTTTCATTCCTCTGACACTGTCTTCTCTCAAGCCTGTATCAATAAACAACTGTATCTGCTTGATCACAGTGCCATGAAATCACATTTACATTCTCATTCCCAGCTCATGTTCTTGTTTCACTTGGTTTAGCGTGGCAGATGAGTCAAAACCTGACTGCAGCCCTACAAAAATGGCTTTGCCACACGTGCTGAAAGACAGGCTCAACAAGCATTAAATGAGGCCTCATGACTTTGTCAATGTTCCAGGTGTTACTAAAGTTCTGCTAAAGAAGAGAGCTCAGCATTTTCCATGGAATCTTCATTGATCCCTCCTGGTCCAGAAAGGACATGCTGCAAAAACAATGGGGCTGCTCTTTCCAGACCTGATATTTAACATGTCACTGATATTTACAGCCCTCTTTAGGCTCTGCTTTCCTTTTTGTCCCTTCTGCTCTTTTTTTCTGCAAAGGGATCTCCCTGCTTTTATCTACTAGCACATAATTTTTCCCAGTCCTGGAGATGCTTTCCCCTGGGTTATCGTTTTTACCTTCCTGGGGGCTGCCAGAAGCAGAGCTGTAAAAATAGTTTCCAGGGGTACCAACCCCCCCTGTCACTGTAGATAACCCAGATGCAGAACTCCTCAGGTGGATGGTTTTGTATCTCTGATCTAAGACAGTTTGAGCTCCTTGCCACAGGGAAAGCCCTTTTGTCCTTGGAAACCTTGAAGTCAACACAGAAATCAAGTCAACCCTCACAGACCTGGTCCCTCTGTGCCATGGAGGGGAACCAGCTCCTGTCAGTGGGATGCTCTAAAAAGCAGAAATGGTGAGCAACAAAGAGATGCAGCACAGTGCTGTACTTTGCAAAAAAGCAGCTGAACTTTTACTGCAATTATTATAGCATCAAATACCCAGCAAGGCTGAGCAGTGAGGAGAAATGGTAGCAAACTAAGAAGAAAATCCATCACTGGACTGCCTGATTAGTTGTTTCTCAGGAAAGTTATTACTTTCTGTAACAACAACTCAGGAAGTGTTTAAAATCTGTTTTTGAAAAATAACTGCAGCTGATTAACCAGTTCATTGCTCCCACTACGTTATGGGCTGGAATAACCAAGGATTTGTCTCAGTTACAGGGACAAGGAGCCATTTTGCACTGACTGCAAGTGAAGTTGGTGCAGAAGAGAGGTAGGGGCACATTACATTTATCTCATGAAACGGTCAATTACTTCCATTCAAAAAAAAAAGATGCAAATCACAGTTTATCTTGTCAGAGAATAGTTTACAGGCTTTTTGCCCAAGTCACAGCATCACAGGATGGTTGGGTTTGAAAGGGACCTCTGGAGACCATCTGGTCCAACCCCCTGCTGAAGGAGGGTCACCCAGACCAGGCCATGCAGGATCACATGTCCAGGCAGGCTTTGAATGTCTCCAGAGAAGGAGACTCCACAACCTCTCTGGGCAGCCTGTTCCATGCTCTGTCACCCCCTCAGTAAACAAATTCTTCCTCATATTCAGATGGAACTCGCTGTGTTTCAGTTTGTGCCCCCTTATCCTGTTGCTGGGCACCACTGAAAAGAGCCTGGCCCCATCCTCTTGACACCCAGACACCGCTGCCAAGTGCCCCATGATGAGCACCTGGCTCACCCCATGTCCTTTTGTGAAGGGAAAACCCAACCAAACAATAAAACCCACCAGCAGTTTTTCCTCTTTCTCATTTTGTGATGCTCTTCACCTAAACCAAAAGCAATTCCATGGGAATGTAGCTTCTGTTGTATGGGAGAGATGTAGCATCATCAGTGCAGAAAATACATCCTTGAGCGTGGAGTCCTTGAGTTTTCCCTTCAAGGAAAACGGCAGCAGGAGAAACAATGAGGCTTGGCACCCAAGGAATGCTCTCAAAAGGCTCACAAATACCAGCCTGCATGATTAAAATTATCTTTCTGTTAAACACCAAGACAACATGAATAAGAAGTAACGCCACATTTATATGCTCAATTAGAGAATGCAGTTTTCTCCAGAATACAGGCTGTTAAAAGCAGCAACGAAAAATCCAGCACCATGTTAATATATGTTAATTTTTGCTAATTGTATGAACTGTTGGGATCATACCTTATGTAAAGCCCTTCCACGCCTCCCAGACTTGCTTGCAAGCTCCAGCACTAAAACTGAAAAGGTTCCTGTACATGTTTTCATGGGGAAGTTACTAATTGCTATGCATTTCATCCTGCTTTCTTCTACCCTACAAATGCAAACACAGCAGGAGTGTGTGGGTTTACCTGATTAAACAGAACACATCCTCCTGAAGGAGTACTCTTAGGAGAAGCTACAAACTGATTTTCTTGTTACTATTTCAAAAGCTACAGTGCAATATATCCGGTATGTGCCCAATGACACCAATCTGATGAGGCTCCTGGCGTGCCCACAAGATGGCAATTTAGGAAGCCCACACTTCAGAGCTCCCTAATCCCAGCTGTCCATGATCCATCCGTGCTGGCACAGCTCCTGCACTGCAGCTGAGCTCACCAGCCCCAGGATTACCTTCCCTGAGCAGGGGGATAACAGATCCTTCCTTTGGCACAACCAGAAAAATTCTCTTATTTCCTTCAAGCTCGACTTTGATTTTAGGAGCCTGATATAGGAATGGAAAGAGAAGGAAACAGGGGACTGAAATAGAGGGCTTAACTCCAGAAATAGGATCTTTTAAAGGCATATGTGAGGCAAAAATTCCTCACTTTTTTTTTTTTTCTGCAGACAAGTCTTTGCAACATCTTAATGGTTTTGCATTGGTTGGTGGGTTTCTCAAAACAGTTGCTATGCTGTGGATTGAGCTTCCACAGGCTTAGTTTGACCACACAAAAATTGAGGACAGGCTTGGAAATCCAAGGCCACAGCTGGAAATCAGAACTTCCATTCCAGAAAGGAACAGAAGGAAACTTGTTGTGTGTCAGATCAGAAAAAAAACCAGCAAGTTTCAACATTTTCAGGTGAGCAGAAATTCTCAGTGATACAGTCCCAGTAGCACAGAAGCATTTCATTGAAAGGTAATAACAAGGGACAACATATAAAATTCCAAGTGGAATGAGGTGAAATGCAATGACAAAGTCGAATCTCCTAACTTATATATTTTTCCACCTATAACTTGGAAGAATTTTATGTATCCCTGAGAAACACATTTTGATTCATCTGTATTTTCTGACAGGACACTGTTGTGTCAAGAATTTTTATCCATGCCAGTCATCACATTTTGAAGATCTCATGACAGTCACAGAAATCTTCCCTACAGTCAGTGAGTCAATTCCCTCAAAATGACAAAAAAAGAGGCAGAAGATGTTTTCCCTAGAATTAGACAAACTGAATGCCCTGCAAACTTCCTGGGTTTTCTGAATTTAAATTTTAACCCCAGAGATCCTTTTAAAAATTCCTGAATTTCTAGGGATTTAAAGTACATTACACTTCTGAGAACAGGGACAGAACTCTACAGACACGGGATCCTTAATTGATACCCTTCAATGTCTCATTTTTCATCAAAATATATTTCAAATGACACGTGATCAAGACAAAAATCTTCAGCTGAGATCTATTTTTTTGCAAGACAAGTACCTTTAATTGCCTTTTGCCTTTATCAAAGTTGTGTCAACTTGATCTTGCCAATAATTCATGAGCTTTCATGAATATGCATAACTTTTTCTGTGCAGGTTGGCATTATTAAATTTGACTTTTCCCAAGAGCAGGGAAATTAATTGAATGAAAGGGGAATTAAGAAGAAGAACAGGTGATAAACAAACAGATACAAAGAGAATCCTGTCACTTAAACTGGTTTGGCACATATATCCCCTTCTTGCCCCAAGATTCACTCACTGCCAGGTCTCAGGTTGCTGTTTAATCTGATGTCTTTTGGTTTTGTGAATGTCTTGATGAAAGCCTTTCCAGTCAACACTAATGTGCAGCACTTTATGGTGGCAAGAGCATTCAATTCTACTGTACCAAAATGCCCTGACCCTCATCATTTTAGAATAATTTCTTTTTGCTTTCATCAGCTGAAGATCACCATAAGTTTGCAGCTCACTGGAAAGTAAAACACTGACTGTGCACTTTGTTTCCTTCAAAGAGAAATCATATCTGTCATTCATGTCATACAGCAGTTGTCTCCAAAAATAAAACATTCTGTTCATGGAGGAAAACTGCCTGGAACCACAAAAGATTGATTTTTCTCCTAGAGCAACTCTGCCACATTTTATGCTGGAATCTGCCTCGGTTTCCATGCAGCATATGCATTAAGGACCTGGTATATCAAGTCCAAACAGTGCTAAAGCATCTCTGAAGTAATGGATGGGGGGGGGACTCATCCATTAAAAATTAGGACAAAACCCCCTGAACAGCCTCTGATTCACTTTGTGTGAGGCAGTCATCCTCTGCCATGCCTGGAATTTCAGTCAGGACATTGGTGTCCAACGAAAATTTCAGGCTCCAGATTACCCAGCACTCTCAGCTTGGCTTTCCTAGAAACATTCAGCTACACTCAGTCTGACCTGTGAGTCTCAAACAAAAGAATATTTTTAATAGGAAATGTCTTTATCCAGAATTCAGATAAAATAGATCAGTAAAAACATTCCTCACCCCCTCCCCAGACTCAGCCCTGAACTCTATAATAGATAAATGATATTACTTTATGATATTGAAGAGAATTGAAGTTCATGTATTTCAGACACCTGGGAGGACAGAGATCAGAGCTCTGACAATTTTTCAGGACAGTGAATTGTACATTAGGTGAATGAAGTAGGAAAGTAACACTTGAGAACAACAACAACAAAACAATAAACCAAAAAATTAAGCTGTCAAAGAACATTCAGAGGACCAAACTAAAAAAAGTACCCTATCCTATCCCTGGCTCTGGAGCTGGTGTCAAAGAGCATACAAAGAGGAATATCCAAAATAACAGTGCAGTCTTCTACTCAGGGAAACCAATAACCTTAATAAGAAGGAAAGTGAGGAGGAAATACCACATTTAAAAATCTAGTGGCTCACTTGGAAATAACAGTCTCTGGTTTTCTTTTGAAATCTCCCCCATACATATGCAGTACAATGAATTGCATTGAAATGGATGAGCTCCTGTCATCTATTATTTGAAATGTGAGCTGAGGTTCACTTTAAATCATTCCTCTGCCAGAAAACAGATAAAAAAAAGAGGATCCAATAGTTTCTACTCTGAAAGCCATTTCACCATAAATATATGTCTCCTGATGACAATATATTGGATGAGCTTGTTTATGGATTCCTGTTCCTGTGGTCTTGGATAGTCTCCAGCCTCTGAGCTTTATTCTCATCACAATATGTATTTTAGGTAATCATGTATAGAATAATTATGGTTTTAGAAATACTTGTACTTTTCCTCCAAGAATTAAGAAGAACTAAGAGGAAAGAGCAGAGAGCACATGACAAACTTGTGAGCCCAGAATTGTGCTTCACAAGTGCCTTTGGTAAATCATATTGCTGTGCCTCCAGAAGGTCAAGAGCCACATTTTATGTAATTTTTTTTCCCAGTAAACTTGCTTTATAAAAATAAAAGCTGTTCACGGAGGACTAGACATAAGGCACTCAAAACAACAGCAACATAATTTCAGCTAATTTTCTTTCTCCCTCCCCTTGTACAGGACAGGTGATGCCTCCTAAACATGTACCCAGTGTCAACATTATCTTATTACTTCCTCTTCAAAACTCAGACCGTGGTGATGGTCACCAGTGTAACAACCTTGAGGAACTGGTGCTTCCCTTTTACAAAGATGTGAACAGTGGAAGTTTGATAACTCAGAGTTGTACTCGCTGGCCATCAATCCACGTTCTCCTAATAACGATAAATATGTGATGTGTCCAACTGATGGATGGCTCAGGCACTGGCTGCTTCCTGCTTTTAGCATCACTGTGACAAATAAATATGGATGTGCTGCAGGTGGGCTTGGTATTTGTGCTGTTTGTTTGGGGTTTTTGAAAAGAAATTCTCACTCTTTTCAGTCCTCCTCACTGATATTATCTGATAAAATTAACTTTGAGAGATATCCCTAAATAAACAACCAAATAACCTAGCAACAGTTTTTTTCTAGCAGAGCTAGAAAATTATCTTCCCTGCCAGAAACTGTCTATGTTTCTTGCAGCAGTGGGTGCACATTTTGGTAAGAAACAATGGAAATTATTTGCCTGAATTTTCAGATCCTAAGTATTCTATTCCAATTAGAAGCTACATATTATATATCAAGATACATGGGGGAAGAAATGGTTGTATATATGTTAGAAAAAGGGCTATTATTCTGCATGGTAGAACATAAACAATTACAGCATGTCAATAGATTGTGTTTTCATTGACACTTGAAGGATTATTACATAAACACATGTACATATATACGCACACATGTTAATTTCTAAATTAAACAGTTTTTGTCCACCATATTATGGGCTAAATGATCATTTTGCCTCTGAAAGAACATCACCTTATTGAAAGTCCATTGTGGTCACTGGGAATTTTGAGGCACACTGCTGTGCAGCATTTCAATTGTGAGGTTTGAATACAGGTATTAAAGGAGTCCTAAACTCAGCAAAGAATTTAATATCTACATAATTTGAATGAAGTCATGCCTCTAAATAACCTATTTGTATGACAATAGCTCCACAGAGTGCTAGCCAAGAGCAGGACCCTGCTTTCCAAGGCTGTCAAACATCCAGACTGTGGCTACACTCAAAAGCTTAGAAGGAAAAAATCATCTCAAGCAATTTTCAGAGCATCTTTCCAGAGCTACTGCTTGAATCTGCAGTTCTCCTGCTGAATTCTGAGCCACTTGTAATTAGATTAGACATATTTCTGCCACACGTTTGCTTTAAAACACTGAATGCATGTTGGATTGCAAATATGACTTGTTTCAACATATGTTTTAGCATAAAACAAACAGTTCTAACAACACTCTTCTCTTCAGTGCCAGGGTTTAATTACACAGAACTGGAACTCAGAGCATTGCTCAGGCCAGTAAAGACTATTAATAGCCATGGATCATGGATATCATTCCTACAATGCAATTTGAAGTACTGGTATGTATAATTTCAATACTATTATTATTCATTCTGGCCTGTTTAATAGACCACTCTCAATATTGTTCTGCTGATTCAAATCAGCTTTAATTAATATCTGTAAAGCACTTGATCATCCAAGACATTATGTGAATGCCAGAGATTTTTGCTGCAACATAATTTTAAAAAACACTCCTCCTATTCATTATTTATGAATCATGAAAAAGTGTTTGATACTTCACAGACACACAAAATGACAGATTTCCTGTCCTTGTATACTTTACAATGTAGAGGAATATAAAAATGTGTTGGTTTGCTTTTTGTCAGTTTATCTTGACATAATATCAGCTCAAAGATTTGCATCATCAGAACAACCTGGTGGATCTAAGTAGAATCTTAAAACTCTTTTGATTTCAAGTCAGCTGTATTTTGATTCCAAGAACAGAGTCAGCCACTTGATACTTTAAAAGATGTTTAAAGGCTTAGGATAAACAATTTAAAACACCCCAGCTAATTGCAGCAGAAAATATGAGATTTGCTTTAGAGAATCATCTTTTATTTTTCCTAAGCCGGTAATTCTAGCTTTTCTCAGAGGGAGTTTTTCTTCCTTTAGGTATGCAAATCAATTTTATACGTATTACTAATTAGAATCATAATGAATGTGCCTTTGGAAGAGATCTTGCCCTATTTGCTCATTAACTGAAGGGTGAAGAAGCAGCTTTGTGACTTGCTCTCTAGGTTCAGAACGCTGCACCCTCAACCACACGTGGTACTTTCTGTAGGGTGTGAGGATGAGGAGCAGATGTTATTCTAATGCTGGAGAGAGGCTGAACTCCACCCTGCTGTGCTGAATGTTTCAGACAGCCACAGTGAGGTTTAACACTGTAGATACATCAAGCATGACTCAGAAAATCTCTTCACAGAGCTCAAGTCACCTTTTGGGGTCTGGGGTACAGTTGCTCCTATAATTTACCTTCTACTGTGGTTTTTTTTTTTTTTTTTTTTTTAATTAGAGATTATAAAACTATCACTCTTGTTTTGTACACTTGTCAAAGTCCTCCTTTTCCAGTATGTTTTATTACAAGATATTCCCATAAGCCAGATTCTTTTTAGGCACTTCAGTGAAGGCTGAGCAGTGTGCTAAATAATAAAAACACTAGAAGACAGAAACTAAAAGAAAGTATTAAAGGAAAGGAACGTGCATGGAAGCAACTGGCCAAAATCAAGACCAGAGGCATGACTACAGCTGCAAGTTTCTTATGAGAAACCGTTAATTTTAAGCACTTGAGCATAACCAAACCTACATGTGCCTCAACAAACCAGGATGGAAATGGACCTGGTAGATTAAATAAATGACAGGTTAGAAATTACTGACAAGTACAATCACCAAATAGGCTCACACAGGTTGCACACAGGCTGACAATGGGCATTGCATGACATCATCTAAAAGAATGGAAAGCAGCATCCCTTGCCTGAGGACCTTGCTCTAGTGCATAGCTTCAATTTTAAGTCATGCAGAGCCCATATCTTGCAACAGGCACCTGAGCTGATCCCTGTCAGAACCAGTAATTCAACCCAGTCTTAAACCCTCTCCAGAATTATCCAACCCTGATTCTCTCCCCAAATGCACTGCTATGAGATCTTTCACATTCAGCCACCATTATACCATCTCTGAACAACTGAGGACCTGCTTTGCACTGTAAATACCTAAACCTGCAGTTTAAAAACAAACCCCCAGTGAGCTGCAAACTGAGGAAAAAAACCCTCTTACACAGCTATTCAGAAATCCTGAACCCCATTACATCAGCTTTTACAGCCACTTGATGGGAAAGGTACATCTAGTAATGAATATTTTAGGGAAAAGCAGCCACAACTTGTCCCCTCATCAAAATATAGGCACATGATTCTCTTTTTTCACTGTTTTCTAAAACAAACCTGTGTTTGTATGTTACCAAATAGGAGTATGAATGCTCTACTCTTTTACATGACTTCTCAAGGTGTTTTAGCAAGGCAGGTATTGTTGCATTCATTTTTCCTGTGCAGAGTACAAGGTCATTTGTACATGGCACAGCTTGGAGCAGAGTCAGATCCTCATTCCTTCTTTATTTAGCTACTACACTCGACTGCCAATGCAAAGCATTCCTATAATGCATACTGTGACAGTGGGAATATAGATATAAAGTTCTCACTTTAGCTATTTTCTTTACCATTTATAATATGGATGGAGTTGAACGTGAATAGGCTGGAACTTTCTCTATCAATATTACTTTAAGAAACAACCTTTGCTGGTTCGTAGCAGTGCATCATAGTTCCCCTTCCCAGGCCATCCATTAAGGAAACACAGCACTTTCCAGCCCCCACAGTGGCATCCCATACTGAGCTATTTGCTGCCTTCAGGTGTTTGTTGAAAGGCTGTTTAGCATAATGAGAGCCAGCTACGATTGCCATGAATTTCACAGCAACCTCCAAGAAAATCTGTGGGGAAGCTCTTGGCTGAAGTTACAAGCCAAGCTCAGTTTTGGCTTGAGTTTTGTGCATCGTGACTGGCAGAAATGAGCATATTCAGGACCCACTCATGAAACACCCAACTGGTCTCAGCAGTAGAAAGAGGCAGGAATGAACATTTTGGTTGATTCACTATTGGACCAGCAGCACTGGTCACTTAGCAACCTTCACTTCTTGGAGAGATACAGATGGTTAAACACCTGCAGCAGTCTCCAAATCACGGACTGGGTTTTCCTCTCATGCCACTTTGGCACTTCAAAAGCTTCTTCCATTTTGCCCAGCTTCTTATGTTACATCCTCACGAAAGGGAGGACAGTCATCAATCAATTACTGAGAGCAAGGCTGGAATAACCCATTCAGTCACAAGCAAAAGAGTTAAAATGAATGTGAAAGTAGTCTTGGGCACAGAGCATTTTCCCGGCAAAGCTTTTTGTTTTAACTTCCTTTTATGTAAATATGTTGCCAGGAAATATCAATCTGCAATTCACTACAGCAAACACCTTAAGGCAGCTACAAAGAACATGAATAAAAAAAGACACTCACTTGACTCTCCCTAGTTACATTTGTTGGGTATGTTACATTTTGATTATTAACCATCTATCAGATAGAGGTCTGCATCATATTCACTGCTTTTACTCCTCCTCCTTAATTTCACACACAGTATAAAAAAATCGAGATTAAAGCAGTCCTTTACTGCATGCTACTGGATAGGTTATATTCTTTGCCATGTTTATCACTTAGCTGGTGCAGACTTGGGTCAAATGGGCAGCCATTCTTTGTGCTGCCACTGACCTGGGGCATAAATTCAGGACTGACACTTTGCTTCCCCCTGCCTCCAGGTGGAACCACAGTTTAGGAGTCACTGTGGCTGATGTATCAAGGACATGGCTTTTCTCTCTTACACTGTTGTGGTATCTGCACTACAACTCCCATTTTGTAGAGAGGGAACAAAGCTGATGAACTCACATTCCTCTTTCCAGCAGCAGCAAATGTCATTCTCAAAACTCAGGGCAAAAAGGAACAGTCAGACCGTGGGATTTCTTGACTCAGTGTATCTGTGAGCACGAAAGCTCATGAGGAATTATAGAGATCAGACATTTGCAAGAATATCAATGATATCTAGAGCTGTAATTATAAGTTCAAGACAAAAACCTCAGCCCTTAAATGCTTTAGAAGGGATATAAACTGCAGTGCTTCATAGAAAGTTTCTAGAGTTTTTCCTGTCTTGGAAGATGGGAAAAAATTTTCCCCTTGAGTTCCTCAGACTGCAATTGCCTTTTGTTTGTATTGCCTTTGAAGCCTGTGGTTTAAACCCTTTCTGTGACAGATATGGGCTACATAGACACTGCACTGATCCAATACATTAACTCCCATGTTTCTGGGCTGAAAATACTATCAATTTTATATAAAACTTTCTGCTTTCCTCCTTCATCGTATTTACCGCATGAACGACCCAGCACACAAATTTAATCTCTCTCTTTTGAGAGACTGAGGACAGAATTCCAGCCCCATACTGATCTACTCAGGCCCTTTTATCTCTCTAATGGCCAGTGCTGACATGTGCTTAAGGTGGCTGAGAAAACAATGACAAAATAAACACTGGGCTAAAGAAAAATCATTTCTGCCACCCATTAGATAGCTCAGGATTTCTGCACGTCACCAAACCTGCTGTGATCTACCCACACACAACGCCTTGGGTTGGCTGTGTAGTTTACTGCAATTCTCAATGCCACTGTTGGTTCAGACACTCACTGATATTTTTCTGCATGGACAGATGTTATTTCAAGCACACCTTTTGTTGTTATGGCAAATGTATTTGTGGGCGAGTTAATCACCAGATGACCACGGGCATGATTTTCAACCATTATGTCATAGAACCATAGAATCACTTTGGTTGGAAAGGAATTCAAGATCACTGAGTCCAACCATAGGTCAACTACATCTTCCTCAAGAAGGGCACCTCTTTCATTATGAATATTCATTATGTTTTGTAAGTATTGTTATGACACCAGTGTTTCAGTTTCAGGTGTTGTGGTTTAGATGTTTTTTCCCCTTAATAAACATTTTTTGGCCTCTGCATGGGCACGCAAGGAAACACCTGAAAATGCAGCACTGGCAGCCCTGTGGAAGCCATGGTAGCAAAAAGAAAAAAGCCAAAATGCCCTTTGGGATGTGAATCAGAAATGAACTCTAGTTAGGCTTCATTCTTCCTGCATAGTAAGAGAATTCTGGGGTCCTTGTACAAGTTATCACTCTGCTGTTTTACCTTGTTTTACTGGTGCTCTAAGAAGAAGTTATGGCTGTTTCACATAGTAATGTTGTGATCAAAAACCTTGGCAAGCAAGCACTTCACACTTCAATCATCTCACTGGATGCATGTTTACATGATTAAGGGGGGAAAAAAATAAAGAAAAAAAAAAAGAGTCAAGACTAATTAAAGAGGCTCCAGGGCTAAACTTGACTAGCTGCCTGAAAAGATGTTTCTTTTTAAAGCACTTATAAACATCCTAAACTTCCATAAGGAAGTTATGCTGAACCATTTGTGATGACACACTAAAATGTGATTTATTGTCCTGTGTAGCTCCCTATACAGCCAGGACGGGAAGGCATCTGTCAGGTTTGCTCTTAGGACAGAAATAGACTTCATGGTTTAGACGCCAAATTATATTTGACATTTAATTTACCATCTATGAAGCTGTAATATTTCACCTAAGCAGAAAAGGAAGAAAACCAGCAGGAAGTTCCATTTGCCAACGAGAAATGTCAACGCTCCTTGCTCTCAATAATCAGGTGTCTGAAGCACTGGATTATTGACCATAACAGAGTACATCCAAACAGGATGAACTAGGGAGGATATTTTGTAGATAGAAGTGAAGGAATAATGCATGTAACAAGAACAAGTGTCATGATCATTACCTCTTTCTCCTGATCTGGTCTGGAAGACAGGCAATAGCACCAGCATTGTCAGAAAAAAAGCTGGTCCCAAGCAACACTGAGCTCAGAGTAAGACTTACTTCCAGTATTAGCAGACTTGGAATCAGTCCTGGACTGGGAGCAGGGGAGCTCCTGTATGGGATTTCTTATATGATGGGGTGAGGAGAAAGTACATCACCATATTTCACAGTTGCTTTGCCTGAATCTCTTGTGAAGCTTTGGAAGGCAAAGTTTGGAGACATTTCCGAGAAAGGCAAAGAAAAGAACAAATATTAATTATAAGTTTTCCTCAGCAAAGGACACCTGCAAACTTCTCTCAGGAAAACTCAGGGAATAAACCCGACTACACTTGTGCCTTGTTCCATATTTGTAGCTGCCAAAGTGGATATTCTGAACCATCCAAGTGAAGATTTCATTAACGGAAGACAGAAATATTCTTATAGAGCATATTAAAATTAATTAACCTTCAAGAGCAGAAAACCATGAGCAAGGAGATTCAAAGGCAAGTAAACTCAATTTCCTGATTCCCAGTCCAATCCTTCATCCAACACCACATGATCTATATATTGCTTGCTACATTGGATGCTCCCTTCTCAGAGCTGGAGGGGCCAGTATGGCTGTACCTCATCCAACATTAATATGCAATCCCTTTTAAAATGGTGCCTCTTTGATTAGACTGCACTGGATAAATCAATCTGTAAATAACATAAAGAAAACAGGTTTCAATATTCATAGTTATCATGAAGAATTTAGTGATGACAGTACAGTATATCACCGACATTAATTTCATTAGATATAAATTGTACTAGCATGACACTGATATATTATAATTAAAATTAATGATCCATTGACTCTCATCCAGAAATCCAGTTAAGATGACAAATACTCTTCTAGTACAGACCAAGGAATAAATATTAAAAGCATACAAAAGTCCAGGAGGTAAATTCTGCTTTCAGCTATGCCAAGGTTCATATGCCACTAACATTATTTAAGGCAGGGCTACAGCATGAATAAAAGGAGAGTCTGTGATGTTTGGGAAGCTCTCTGTGTCAGAAGCAGAACACCACCAATTCCCATGAGAAATCTGCTGGAGGACATGAGCTATCAGAGGAATTTCAAGCTGTAAAGAGGAACCTCTGCTGTCCCTCACCCAAATTCATAAATATCTATGTGGAGTTGGGAATCACAATAGATTAGAACTATTCAGACAGGAGCAGGAAGAAATTTTAGTTAAGGAGCTTTTCAGATGCAATTTCAACATCAGCCATATCTGGACTATTATATGAAAGTATCAGCTCCTTCTGAGAAAAAAAGCTTCTGGTGGCTATCCAACATCCAGTGCTAATAATCCCTAAGTGCTTTGCTACACTTTATCAGAAGAAAATGAAAGGGAACAACAGTAATTCCTCTGAAGAAATGGTCTTAATCAACTCAAAATGCATTTTCATCCATTGTTTACCCCAAGTGTCATTCAGGACAAAACACAATACAGATTCTCCCTTCCTCCCAGATAAAAACCCACCGGTCTCACGAGTGCTGTAGACACAATTACTCATATCTCTTGCTGTCCTCTGCTTTTGTTACATGATTTTCCTACAATTAGACCTTAAAAGAATTGACCCTCCTTTCACCATAAACTGGAAAGACAATTTCTTCTGAATATTTAATAATAGGCAGCAAAAGCAGCTAGACACAGTCTTTTAACCTTACAGTAGGGGAATCATCCAGATTTCAGCAGCTGTGCCTGCTTCTACTGTCAGCTTGACAACTGCCAATGAAAAAAGTTAAATTTGCCAAGTTTTTAGAAGTTCAGAAAGACTTGCATTGATTTGCAGAAGCATATAGGCTTGACACATCCTGAACAACCCTTTGTTTATAACATTTATTTGGCTGAGGTGGTCACAAAGTGGGGAAAACTTCTCTATTTGCACACCTGAGAAATATATTCCACCTGCCATTCATTTGGTCACCACCTGGCTGACCGAGCCCATGAGACTTCCTATCAAATGGTAAAAAATCGACCACTTTCCCAGAGGGATTCAGAGCAGGTAATTTAGGAGCCTCCCTCTCCCATTAGTCACATAAATTGTGCGAGTTACAGATCTTTGCCCAGCAAAGGACCCTCTTTTCCCACCAGAACTCTGACACGTGGTGTGTCTCCTCTTCCTGACTCAAGAAAAGAACATTTTCCTGTTTCACCCTCTCTTTGCCTTGCCCAGAGACCACCCCCCTGTTTCCCAGTGCCTTCACCACCGCTCTGGCAACACAAATATTGGGTATGAGAAGATGTGCAGGGGCCAGCAGTGACCCACAGAGCCTATGTGTGACCACAGGCACCTGCAAATAGAGATGCTCAGGGCATCTCCCGAGGGCTGGAATACATGTGTAGCTTAATTAAGCCTTTTCCTGCAGGCTAAACTGATTCATTGGGCCAATAGTTGCTGTTTTTAGGACAGCACATGTTTAATTTACAAATTAGTGGATTACAGTAATATGTGTAACAACATATTAAATGAAGTATTAACGTAATACAACCCAAACGACACATGATAAACTATATAAGCATATATACAAATTTGATTTAATATGTTAGCTTCCTTTGCCCTCTGCCAGTCTGATTGCCTTTGCATAATCCATGTTTCTAATTATCCCCTGGTATGCCTTGCATATAAATAGCTAATTAGATAGTGTCCCTGTCAGCTATGAGGTATGTAATATCTGAAAAAAATACTCCTTTGGAAATTTAATTTAGGATAACAGATTGTGCTATCCAACTGAAGAATTAAAGCTTTCAGTTTACTAATATGTTTGTGCATTTAATATCAACCTCTTACTATTATATTAGTGCCCCCAAATGCGTCCAGTAGTGTTATTCTTTTTTTTAGAAATCATTCTGTCAAAAGCTCGTACAGTAATTACAGTAAGATGCTGAAGATTTAAAAATCACATTGCATGTGATGATTTTACACGTCTGCTGAATGTGTGCTAAGTGCAAAATTCTCAGCTGCAGCTCTAGAAGCCATCTGAGCAAATCAGACAGAAGGGCCATGTAGTGTTCTGTGCTCTTCCTGGTCATAGCTGGGTGTTCCAGGGAATGGGGGTGGCATCTGAGCCTGACAGGTGGGGGATAACCCTCCAGGAGGAACAAGACAAACCCCAGGAAAGGACGTGCACGGGAAGATCTGCCACAGAACAACTGCTGTGCTGCAAGTCTATAATTCAGGGGAATGCCTCTGTGTGCCCATGGCCAGGCAACAAGCTGAAAGTCAGAGTGATTTGTCACCTTAAATTATTTATGAAAGCAAGATTTACCTTCTTAGTGGCATTCAAATAGCTCTAGATTTTTTCCCCTCTCCTTCACAGGTGCCTTTGTTCATTTGGAGACTCTATTGATGTTGGCTTTACATTGTTGTGGTAGATGGTACAGAATGAGCTGGCAGGGCATTAACACGTTATTTAGTACAATTTCTATGGAATTCCTCCATTATTTAGAGCATAGGATGAATGTATTTGGCATTCTTTATAACAGACACTCCTTGTAACTGAGAAAAACATGGTTGTACTTCTTATAATAAACTAAAGCTAATATTGTTTTGGAAACAGAACAATACCCTTAGATCTCCTGGGGATTATGCACTAAAAGTCACAGTGCCAATATTTAAACTATTTTCTATCTAGTCAGAAGAAACATAGGATTTTTGGATCCCATGCACCTTTTCTTATTTTGTTGTGTTATGGAAACCTTCTCAAACACTTTGCTTCCTTGCAATCAGAAAGATGAAAAATATGTATATACATCTTCGATGTTTACTCCTTTGCCCTTTTCTGCCATGTATGTGCTTCTCGAAGCCTCAGC